TTCCTCACTAACCTCGCTGCCCTACTTTCTCTCCTGTTTCTTTCCTTCCCCTTTGCATTTACAGGTAGGAGCAGTGGAGATGGAACATGCTCACTGTGGACAGAAACTCTGGAGATTTGAGCTGTTAAACTCAGAGAGGTCTGTATGAGCATGTGTAGGCTGAGATTTTTTCACAGGCGTTTAACTTAGCCAAATTTGGGCCCTGGCCAGACTTCAGGTCCACACTGTAAGATGCAGAGGCACAAAACCAGCATGATAAGCATTTCTTTATCAGCAACAAAACAAAATTCTCTCTTAAGCTGTTTGCCCCAAATGACTGAAACATCTTCACTGACATTTTCAAGAAAGCATTTAACCTTGGCCAGCCACCAGCAGGGAAAGCTTCAGCCCAATACGTTACATTTTGACAAAATTCAACCAATATCTTATGGCAGGTTCAGCTTACGAAGTTGGTGGGTAACCTTAGTTTTGGCCTTTGCTACTAGCTACACTGTTAGGTCCAAGCAAAACCATCAACCAGCCTCCAAGTCGTCATGAGGAGTGCATTTGATTTGTCTTCATGTTCTTTGACCAAACTGATCATGCTTCCAAGTTTTCCTCCTCAATTAGGGATCCAGAGATCATTTTTAAATGGAAGTTGAGAGTCTCACAGTCATGTGATTCCAGGAACTGGGGCCTTATTACACACACCAAATACCACAAGGTTTGTAAAGAGGGGACAACATTGTGGCTGCCCCAGCCTCAGAGACAATGGTACATTTGTGCCCTGGTAACTTTCCATTCAGTTATGCACTCAGGTTTCCAATCCAGATAGCTACAAGTATGCAGGTCCCTGACAAGCTGATGGAGAACAGAAGAACCAATAGCCTACATGGTGTTTGGGAAGTCTCCCCAGGAGCTTTTCTAACAGATGGCATAAGCAACACAGATTCTCACTTGATCTCATTGGCCATTTCCTCCTGTGTATTTTTCTTTTTCTTTCGGCACACGAAAAATTGCAGAATGCATACAGTGATTAAGCCAATTCCAATGAGACACCCCACGACAGCTCCAGCGATCACAGCTGCATTGTTGTCTGCAGAAAATCAGAACAGAGTTTATACAGGATGGTAGCCCAGAGTCAGAGCAATACAGAGCCTCAGCAAGCTGGACACAGGTAGCCTGACCAGCTTGTCCAGGGTGAAGCTGGGCTTCTCACACTTGTCTGGGGATATGGTAGAAGGGGATATGGTAGAGAAAGCCCATTGATTAGGTTGTGGGGGCTCCCCATGACACAGGAATCACCCTCCACCCCTGCCAGATCCAACCTTCCTTTGTTGCTGGATAAGGAACCTGAAGCAATCTTCACCTTGCTGCTAACGCTAATCCCTAACTTTCCTCCAGTCAGTACATTCCAGTTATGCTGCAACATTACAGACAAGTGAATACATCCCCTCACATCAAATCAGGCTAATTCCTTCACTGTTTTCTGGACCCCTTCCTCCAGGGCCTTAAATCCTCCTTTAGATGATGTCTGTGCACTCCAGCCCAGGAGTGGAGACCCCACCACACTGGGAGTATACTCACATGAGTTCACCTCCAGGGTTATGTTGCACTTGGAGACACCAGCATTGTTTTTTGCTGTGCAGACATACGTTCCAGACATCTCTCTTGAAAGATTTTTCAACATGAGGTTCCCACTTATGGGGTCTGCAAAATTCATAAGACAAGACCCTCATGAGCCCATGTCCCAGCTGCATGGCATTCCATTCTGGTCACCCACGGGTGTGCTAGAATTCCCCACCACCACAGTAGTCAAGCCAACCTCCAAGCATTTGCATATGGTCATTTCCCATGGCACCTCACCACCTTCTGATGCCTGTTTTCAATGATCCTGCAAAGTGCCTGACCTGAACAGAAGCCTTTGCTTGCGCAGGGCCCCTCTGAAGTCAGTGGATCTCCCAACCAGCTCTGCAGTCTGACTGTTTAGTGCAGTGGAAGAGGGCACAGGTTCACAGTAATGGGTGCTGCTAGGACAGGCACCGAGGACCTGGAGGAGTTTGATTTCTAAGACATGAGCACAAGCCATGGCTAAAGGATAGACTGGGAACTTGAAGCAGCAGTCTGGGAAAGAGCATCCCTAAAGGAGCAGAATAAAGGCTGTGGTACATGGTAGTTGTGGCAACAGCAAAGCACGCTTGCGAGTAGAGGGGCAAAAGGATGTACAGTCGTCTGGCTTAATTTCCTTCCTTGCTTGTGTGCGACAGGGGTCAGGGCATTGGAAGGAGGCAATCTGTGATAGCTCATTGTACTGCTTATACATGAAGTCTGGCTGGTGTTTGTTTGGCCCTGAGCTTGTAATCAGCACCTTTAGAAAGGATAGTTCAAACAGGGAGCATGCTGGGTCCCTTCCAAAAGGCCCATCCTTTAACCACTGCAGCTGTAGGTGAGATTGTGTAGTCCTGTTAGCCATGTGAAGCACATGTGGGTTCTGAAGAGAGAGAGATCTTTTCTTCAACAGTGAGGCATTATGTTGTTTGCCAAATGCCTACATAATATGGTATGGTTGTAGGCGAAGCAAAAAGGAAAAGAGCACAATTTAATGATGGCACAGCAACCTCTCAGCAGGTAAACTGCTCAACTGACAGGAGGGCCCAGCGACCCTGGTGTGTTACACAATCATAGATTCATAGAACATGAGGGTTGGAAGGGACCCTGGGAGGTCACCAGTCCAACCCCAGCTCAAAGCAGGACCATCCCCAACTATATTATCCCAGCCAAAGCTTTGCCTAGCCAAGTCTTAAAAACCTCCAAGGACAGAGATTCCACCACTTCTCTGGGTAACCTGTTCCAGTGCTTTACTACCCTCCTAGTGAGAAAGTTTTTCCTTGCTAGGAGGGTAGTAAACCCTCAGCTTCCCTTGCTGCAACTTCAGACCATATCTCCTTGTTCTGTCATCTGCCACCACTGAGAACAGTCCAGCTCCATCCTCTTTCGAACCATCCCTCAGGTAGTTGAAGGCTGTTATTAAATCCCCTCTCAGTCTTCTCTTCTCCAGACTAAATAAGCCCCGTTTCCCCAGCCTCACCTCAAGTCACATGCCCCAGCCCCTGAACCATTTTCATTGTCCTCTGCTCAACTCCCTCAAACTTGTCCACATTCTTTCTGTAGTGGGCGTCCCAAAACTGGACACAGTACTCCAGATGTGACCTCACCAGTGCCAAATAGAGGGGAACAGTCATTTCCCTTGGTCTGCTGGCAATGTTTCTACTATGAAGCCCAGTATGCCACTAGTCTCTTTTGCAACGAGGGCACACTGTTGGCTCATATTCAGCTTATTGTTCACTGTAAACCACAAGTCCTTTTCTGCAGAGCTACTGCCCAGCCAGTCAGCACCAGTGCATGGAACTGTTCCATCCTAACTGCAGGACTTACTATTTGACTTTAATGAACTTCATGAGATTCTTTTGGTTCAATCCTACAATATGTCAAGGTCTCTCTGGATCCTCACCCTACCCTCCTGTGCATCTACAGCTTCAACCAGCTTGGTGTCGTCTGCATCATTCATGAAGACATTGAATAAAACTGGCCCCAGGACCAACACCCACTTGATACTGGCAGCAAATCAGACATTGAGCCATCGATTACTATCCTTTTAGCCCAATGATCTAAACAGTTTTCTATCCACCTTACAGTCCATTCATCCAACCCATAATCCCTTAGCTTGCTTGAGAGAATGCTGTGCAAAACCATATCAAAATCCTTGCTGAAGTCAAAGTATTCCACATGGACTGCTCTTCCTCCATCCACAGAGCCAGTTATATCATCATAGAAAGCAATTGGGTTGATCAGTAATGATCTGTCTGTGACCATTCCTAATCACCACCTCCAAGTGCTTAGAAATGGATTCCTTGAGGACTTGCTCCATGATTTTTCCAGGGACTGAGGCCAACCCATCTGTAGTTCTCCAGATCCTCTTTCTTCCCCTTCTTAAAAGATAGGCACTATATTTGCCCTTTTCAAATCATCTGGGACCCCTACCAAATGCCATAAATTTTCAAAGATAATATCCAGCAGCTCTGCAATCTCATCAGCAAACTCCCTTAGCACCCTTGGGTTCATCACATCTGACCCCATGGACTCGCACACACCCAGTTTTCCTAAATAGTCCCTAACCTGTTCTTTCATCACTGTTGGCTGCTCAACTCCTCCCAAAACTGTGTTCCCTGCTGCAGTACTCCGGGAGCTGACCTTGCCTGTGAAGACTGAGGTAAAAAAGGCATCGAGTACTTTAGCATTTTCCTCATCATCTGTCACTAGGTTGCCTCACCCCATTCAGTAAGGGACCCACACTTTCCCTGACCTTCCTCTTCTTGCTGACATACTTGTAGAAACTCCAGAAACTTCCTGGATTGCCTGTGCACTGCTGTATTGTCCTCCCAGCAGATGTCAGGGTGATTGCAGTCCCTCATGAGAAACAGGACCTGTGATCAGGAATTTCCACTACCTGTTTGAAGAAAGCCTCATCCACCTCACCTTCCTGGTTTGGTGGTCTATAGCAGACACCCACAATGACCTTGCCCTTGTTGCTCTCTCTCTGACCCAATGCCAGATACTCTTAACAGGCCTATCTCCAGTTTCATACTGGAGGTCTGAGCAATCATACAGCTCTTTTACACAAAGCACAACTCCTCTTCTCCCCTGCCGGTCCTTCCTGAACAGTTTATAGCCATCCAGGACATTGCCCCAGCCATGTGAGCTCCCACCTAGTCTCTGTTACTCTCATCACATGGCAGTTCCATGACTGGGTGAGGACTTCCAATTCTTCCAGCTTGTTTCCTATGCTTTGTGTATTCATGTACAGACACCTGAGGTAATTAGCTGTATGCCTTACTTTCTCAAGAAGAATGAGGCCCTGTTTCCTGCTCTTGCTTGTGCTTCTTCCAGGTCACCTACTTCCCCACTTACCTTGGGGCTTTGGTCTCCTTCCCCTGGCAAACCTAGTTTAAAAGTCCTCCTCACTATGTTCACAAGCCTGGAAGGGACCTCAGAAGATCATCAGGTCCAGCCCCCTGCACCAGGCAGGAAAAATGACAGGTGAGGTCAGGTGACCCCAGAAAGATGACTGTGCAGTCTCCTTTTGAACATTTCCAGGGTACGTGACTGCACAACCTCTGGAGGAAGCTTATTCCATAGTCTGGACACCCTGACTGAAGTTTTTTCCTAATGTTGAGCCTGAAACGGTCTTCTAGGAGTTTGTGGCCATTACTCCTGTTTTTCCCCAAGGGCGCCCTGGTGAACAGCTGTTAACCGATCCCCTGATGTAGTGCTAAGCTGTTACCAAATCCCCTCTCACTCAGCCTTCTCTTTTTCAGGCTGAAGAGTCCCAGGTCCCTCAGCTTTTCCTAATATGGCTTGTCATGCAAGTGTCTGATCATACGAGTGGCCCTTCTCTGGACTCTCTCCAGTTTTACCATGTCCTTGTTAAACTGCGGTGCCCAGAACTGGATGCAGTACTCCAGGCGGGGTCTCACCAATGCTGAGTTGAGCAGAAGAATCACCTCCTTGGTCTTGTTGGAAATGCATCGATTGATTCATGCTAGAGTATTATCTGCCCTGCTGGCAACAGAGTCACACTGCTGGCTCACATTCATGCTGTGGTCCATTATTACCCCCAGGTCCCTTTCATTTGTAGTGCTGGTCAGGTTGGTATTGCCAAGCCTGTAGTTGTGCAGGGGATTGTTGGTCCCCAGGTGGGGTACTTTACATTTCTCAATGTTGAACTTCATCTGGTTCTGACTCGCCCAGCTTGCTAGCCTGTCTAGTAGGGCTGTGCGAGGCTTTGGACAGAGCTTCAGATCCGGAGAAGTTTCGGACGCTTCGGGGTCCAAGGCAGCATGTCCAGGTCGAAGCGCCGCCTTGTTCGGCTTCCCGAAGCAGTTCAGAGCTGCCTCGGAGATGCAGCCATAGGGTATAATGGAGAAACAACAAAATATCTATAACTTTGTTGTTTTTTGTCCGATTTACATGAAAATTTCAGGGGTGGTAGACTGTGCAGAGAGAATGAAGCCTACCAAATTTCAAGAAGATCAGTGCAGGGGCTTGGGGGGAACTGCACCCCAAGTTCTTGAAAGCAAAACCCATGTCACATCTAGGCATTACAACATAGCCGGGTGAAAACTGCAGGGGTGGTAGCTCTTACTGAGGCCACAAAGCCTGCCAAGTTTCAAGATCAGTGCAGGGGTTGGGGGCGGGGGGGGGAGGGAACTGCCCCTCAAGCTGCAGACAAGCAAAACTGGTGCCATGGGTACTGTGGGACTGACTGTGTCTGTCCTGGGGCGGGAGGGGAGACACTGCTGCAGCCCTGGCTGCTAAGCTGCTGTGTTCCCAGTTACCAATCAATCAATCACGATTCACTCAAGGGCCAGGGACCAGCTCAATACACAGGACCCAGCTACAACACAACAACTTAACACCCAGCAATTAGCACCTACAAAACCAGGCTGAGAAGAGGAAAGAATCAATACAATCAACAGCCGCAGGACAGACAGTCATGCCACAAGTTTTGCCAATTTGGTGTCATTCCTCGAGCGTTCCCATCATGCCGCTCCCAGTTCTTTTAGCACAGAATTTCTTCCAAGAAAAAATAACCTTTGCCGCTTTTCCACTTCTCTGTTACTCGGAAACTATTCCACTGTTTGGAATTATGG